TCAGAACTGGTTGTCACTATGCACATCATTAGACAGTCTAATGACAATGAACAGAATGGCCTAAATTATATCCCAAATTACACCTTTCAGACCCTCTTGATGCCAGTGGAAGGAAGGGAAGATTTTGGCCTTCCACTTAGTTTTGGAATGCCATATTTTCAGGTCTCAATGCAATTATAGCACTGAAATTGATGCCAATGGGCAAGAGAGCTAAATAGGAGAAACAAGAAAGAGCTGATCAGGAAACATATCGGGTGCGTCTAGACTGGCAAGATGTTGTGCAAAAGCTTCCGCTTTTGCGCAAAAACTTGCCAGCTGTCTTCACTGGCCGCTTCAATTTGCGCAAGAGCACTGACTTTGTAATGTACAAAATCAGTGCTTCTTGCACAAATATGTTCACGCTCCCACTCAGGGATAAGCCCTCTTGCACAAGAATACTTGCGCAAGAGGGCCAGTGTAGACAGGCACCTTAATTTTTTGTGCAAGAAAGCCCGATGGCTAAAATGGCCATTGGAGCTTTCTTGCGCAAAAGCCCGTCTAGATTGGCACGGATGCTTTTGCGCAAAAGCATTTTTTGTGCAAAAGCATCCTTGCCAATCTAGACGCTCTTTTGCAGAAATACTTTTAACGGAAAAACTTTTCCGTTAAAAGTATTTGTGCAAAATCATGCCAGTCTAGATGTAGCCAGAGTGTTTTGTACTCTGAGTATTCTGGGCTACAAAGCTGCACAGCAGATAGAATGATTGAGCCCTCACTGATGGACTGCTTCCTAAAAGCTGTGGTGAGCTGAGGTTTTGCTCCAGCTGTTTTCATTTAAGATGAAACCAGGTAAATAGACAAAACAGACTGCAAGGCAAGAATCAACAGAGTACACGGACATGCCATTGATTTTAATTAAGATCTACCAGCTTGCATATGCAGAGGCAAGATGAGGAGGAAAGAAAGAGCCCAAATACAATTTTTTGTTTTTGGGTGTGTGTGTGTGTGTGTGTGTGTGTGTGTGTGTGTGTGTGTGTGTGTTTTGAAAGATACTTCACTAGCCCAGCTATTGTACAAATCAGGAAAGAAGCTGCATCCCTCACTTTTGAGGAGGCTGTCATGAAAGAAACCTGTATACCCAACAACATGTATAGTATGTGTTATAACTGAGGGCAGAATTTGGCTCCTCATGGCTCCTGTCAAGCAGATAAGTTTATATTTTACATTAAAGCAGCAAAGGGCCTATTTCTGTGGGAAATGCCTGATTTTGATCATTTTGAGGCCTGGAGGTCTCTCAGCCAGACTCTGGTCAGGGACAGGCAGCTGCTGCATGCCTGCAGGCTGTGTTTAAAGGTCATTCAAGGCATCTGAGTCCTTCCAGCATGCCTGGGACTCCCTTTGGTTGTGTTGGGCTGTGAGAGAGTAGCCCTGGGGTGGCTGGGGGTTTGCCTTGCATCAACCCTGCCCGCAAAGGTGCCTTCAGGGATTGCTGAACTGGGCTTGTTGGGATGAGACCAGTGGAACTCCTGGAGCCATTTGGGGGCATGGATATTGCTCGCTGGCTCCCATGAGCGCTTCTCCAGCCGTAGCCTTCCCAATCCATGAGGTGCAGGAACTTCCCTTTGGAACTGAGGGTCTGATTCACAAGTTATTCTTCCCTGCCATGCATCATGACCTAGGCATCATCCTGGCAGGCAGTCGAGGGGATGCTATTTCAGTAGGGAGACGTGGAATGCAACATACACTCACGTCGGGGGTGTTGGGGATGGAAAGCAAGGGGGATAATTTGCTGGAGGACAAGAAAGCAACCAAGGAATCGCGAGTCAGGCTTGCCGGAGGGATGGGAGGTGTCCGTGTTTTGTGGAGAGCCACTCTCTCAGATGGTGCGCGGAATTCTTCTGAGCGCTAAGCCCTTCTTCGCCCCTTCTTTCCTGAAACACAAAGAGAAGGCCTGTGTTCATTGCAGTCTGCCTCAGCCTGCTTCAGAAACTGCCTGGGTGAGATAGCCTCAGAAAGGCAGCTCCCCCGCCCGTGTGCCAGGCCACGTTCAGAGTAAGTGGGGTTCACTCGGTAGAGCTAGAACTCGCTGGACGCTGGATAGCAGCATACCAGGCATGCCCATGTCTCTGCTGGGGAATAAGGAACAGCTCACTCGCTGAGGAAGGGTCACTGTTTGCCATGAAGACACGAGACTGGGAATCACAGCCTCTGTCACTGATCAGTGACTCACAGACACTTATGGGCACCCTAGTGAGCATGGATTAATACATGAGAATAACAGGAAAGTCTTTTGGGATAGAAGAAAAAACCAGGCAGAGGGGATCCCGGCTACTCCTGTCAGATATCGCCACACCCTGCAGCACCCTCGTGCTTTAAGAGCTTAGCGAGGAGCACACCCCATCTGGGCCAGTCAGTTAGGGCAGAAACTGCAAGAGGTAGAGCAGTGAGAGAAAAATGGCTGTGCGGCTAACCCCGGGGGTGGGCGCTCACAAGATCTGGGTTCGGTGCCTCGCTCTGACCAGCATGGGAAGGTCACTTTGTTTAGCTGCTGCTTCAGTTTCTTTGGTAAAAGAGGAGCAAGGGTCCTTCCTTTCTACCTCCCGTTGTCTGGTTTGTCCATTTAGACTGTGAGCTCTCCAGGTGAGGGCAGTGTGCTTCTACAGCACCAATGCAACCAGGCTCTGATCTCAGCTGGGACTCCTATGCACCACTAGAATACAGAAAATAATTTCCTCTTTCTCGCCTGTTCAGTAACAAGTCTCTTCTCAGCCTGACTCCTGGAACTAGAAAGGCCCCTCCATAGAATCCTAGGGCTGGAGGAGACCTCAGGAGCCACTGAGTCCAGCCCCCTGCCCAAAGCAGGACCAATCCCAACTAAATTATCCCAGCCAAGGCTTTGTCAAGTTCGGACTTAAAAACCTCTCGGGGTGGAGATTTAACCCCCTCCCTAGGGAACCCATCCCAGTGCTTCACCACCCTCCTAGGGAAATAGTTTTTCCTAATATCCAACCTGGACCTCTCCCACCACAACTTGAGACCATTGCTCCTTGTTCTGCCACCTGTCACTACTGAGAACAGCCTCTCTCCATCCTCTTTGGAACCTCCCTTCAGGGAGTTGAAGGCTGCTACCAAACCCCCTTCACTCTTCTCTAAACTAAATAAGCCCAAATCCCTCAGCGTCTCCTTGCTCCAGGCCTTAATCATTTTGGTTGCCCTCTGCTAGACCCTCTCCAACCATCCACATCATTTCTGTATGGATGCAACTCCAGATGTGGCCTCACCAGAGCTGAATAAAGGGGAATAATCACTTCTCTGGATCTGCTGGCAATGCTCCTCCTAATGCACCCTAATATGCCATTTGCCTTCTTGGCTACAAGGGCGCCCTGTTGACTCATAAGAGTCTGACATAGCAGAGGACGGTTTCAGTCCATCAAACTCTGCGTTATGAGCCCAGCACACTTTCACTGCACCACTCAGCTCCCTCCGTGAATTGTCCAGTCAATTCTAAAAACCCTTCCAGCCCCTCCCCGAGCCTGCCTGGCAGAACAAAGGGAGCTAACTTAGGCCTTGTCTACACTGGCACATTTTGTCACCAAAACCTGCCTTTTGGCAACAAAACAATAAGATCATTTACATTGTAACACAACTTTTGTTGGGAAGACACCCAGTTTTGGAGACAAAAAATTTCAACCCCTGTGAGATACCTTTTTCTTTTCCCTTCCCTTTATTGGTGACAAAGAGCCAGTGTCGACTCTGCTGTTTGTTTTGTCATGAAAATTGGCTTCTGCCAGGATCCCATGAGGCTTGCCCTGATGGCTCTACAGGCGGTCCCCGGGTTACGTACAAGATAGGGACTGTAGGTTTGTTCTTAAGTTGAATCTGTATGTAAGTCGGAACTGACGTCCAGATTCAGCCACTGCTCCGCGGCTTTGCTCTGCTTTGCTCCCCGTCCCCCTGGTCTGCAGCCCAGGGGGACGGGGAGCAAAGCGGCGGAACACGCGGGCAACGGACAGCCCAGACACGTCTGGGCTGTCCACTGCCCGCGTGTTCCGCCGCTTTGCTTCCTCCCCCTGGTCTGCTGGAGACCAGGGAGAGGGAGGGCCCCGTTCGTAACTGCGGATCCGACATAAGTCGGATCCGCGTAACTTGGGGACTGCCTGTACTCAGTATTTTATGATCTCTGCTGCCCTGCAGGCATGCCCCTCCCCTCAAAGCTCCAGGAAGTACCTGACAGCGGAGTGAGCTGCTCTGTGCAGGGAAAAAACATAAAAGAGCAACTCATTGGAGTGCTCCTGTTCTGCCCTGCTAGGAACACAGCTGCTGCTGTAGGTCGAGGGCTAGAGAGACTGCTGTGCTGCTTTGACTCCTCAGCAAGGAGAGCTCACTGAGCTACCTATGATGCTGCTCCCAGCAGCTGAGAATGCTGTGGGAGAACTCGGAGAGAATCCCAAGCAGCACAGGGATCAGCTCTGCCTTCCCACAATGCTGCATTGTGGGATGTTCACCCATATTGCTTTGCTCTCTCTGTCGACAGGGAGCTAGCAACATAGCCATGAAATGTCGACAACGGGAGGCGGAAAAAATAGTTTGACCAGTTTTCACTTTTGGCAACTTTTTCCTATTGACAGCACTTTTGTCACCAAACCTTCCCAGTGTAGACATAGGCTTAGCAGAATGGGAGGCCATGTAGCAATGGTCTGGGAGGTGGGACATTCATCACGCCCACCCTTGTATGGGAACGTGGTAAATTCTTCTCTCTGCCCTCAGAAACCCCACCTGCCCAATAGATGTGGGGTGAGAGCAGTTGACACAGAAATCTCTTACGTTGCCTTTTACACCTACAAGAGAAATTCTCTGCTGGACATCACTAGCCAGGTGAGATTGTCCCATAATGCCCTGACTCCAGGAGCAGGGGCTTTAAGAAGCAATCCAACTAACATGAGACTTGTGATAAAAATACCCCAGGAGATGGCTTTGCTGAAATGACAGCCCTGGGTGGGGAGAATCAGACCCAACGTCTCCTACTGACCTTCTATGTAGGCGCAGTTGAAATTGCTGAAAGTCTGGTTTGTGCTGTGAAGGACAAACTTGTTGCTGTTCTTGCCCCGGGTGAAGGAAGACACCTTGAAACGCTCATAGACTGGAATCAGTACTTCTTCCTCTTCGAACGAAGAGAAGTCTGCAATGGGGACCCCGAAGCACGTCTGGATGGTGAAGAATGTCTTCGAGCCAAATCTCTGAGCTACATGACTGTTGAAAGATGAAGAGGTAAATGTCCCAAACCTGACGTCGCCACCTCTCTTATCAGGTTCGTAGCAGAGAGACCCGACGCCCCGGTACACCTTCGTCTCATACATCTCAGCACAGTCTCTCAGGAGCTGCACCGCTCGGGTCAAATAGAAATGAAGGGCTTTGAAAGGGAAATGTTCGAGATAATAGACTTGGGATTGACCAGCTTTTCTCACCGCTCTGTTGAAAACCTGGTACAAAGGCTTCTTACCACCGCTGGTATAGATCAGGATTGCTATTCCATGCTCCTTCTTAAACCCTACCGGCAGAGAGATGTTTTCCTTCCTCGCATTCCATTTTTTTTCCGCAGCTTCCCAGCTTACGTTAAAACTCTTGAGGTTTGACTTCTCTTGCGGCAGTAGTTCGGACTTGATTATTTTTTCCATCTTTTCTGTGCAGCCTATGTACTGATCATCGAAAGCGTCGTATGCCATGTCCAGCACCGCCGGCGTCTGGCAACTCACCTGGAAACAACATAGTGTATGAAACATCAGCGTGGCTGCCTGTCTGCTAGGCTCCCAACATTCCCAGCACTTGTGGAACTGAGCTAGGGCCAGCCCCCATGGGCCATTTCTACTGAACGTCCCTGTTAGAAACAAGGCAAGAACAAGACTGAGAAAGAGAGAGGCCTTACCAAACACACCCATAGGCATTTTTTATAGTATACATAGGAAATTCTGAAAAAACAAGATGTGCAACCACCATTGGGCGGATTCAAACCTGTGACTCAGTGTTCATTCCTTAAAACCACCTCCCTCCCACCACCACACACATAGTATTGCTGTTTCGCTTTCTCTTTTTCACCTCCTTCTATTTCTTTGATGATTTCATAGCGAGATTTCACAGCGGTGTTGTCGGCGGCATATATTTGATGTGCATATTATGGTGTTACCCTGTGACAAGCAGGTCCACTTTTTAAAGTCTAATTTGTATAAGAGTAGTGATAGAAATGTAGCCGTGTTAGTCTGGGGTAGTTGAAGCAAAATGCAGGACAATGTAGCACTTTAAAGACTAACAAGATGGTTTATTAGATGATGAGCTTTCGTGGGCCAGACCCACTTCCTCAGATCAAATAGTGGAAGAAAGTAGTCACAACCATATATACCAAAGGATACAATTAAAAAAAAGAACAAATATGAAAAGGACAAATCACATTGCAGAACAGGAGGGGGATGCGGTGGGGGGGGAGAGGAAGGAAGGTAAGTGTCTGTGAATTGATGATATTAAAGGTAGGGAGAGTGGGATGTTTGTGAGTTAATGGTATTAAATACTGCCAACCTATCAGCCATTTATGAACAGATTATAAAGCATTAGTAACTGACCAACAGACAGCTAATCAACCAAGAGAAATGCCTGCACGGGCTCCCTTGTTCCAAGGTGGCCAGGGTCGTCTATGAAGACATTTAAACAAGGAAAGACCTTTACAAGCTTGGGGAAGAGTTAACATCGAGAATATGTCTGGGCTCAATCTTTCCTTTGTTTCTTTTGGAAGTTAAAATATAAACAGGCCATTCTATTTCCTTAGGATTAAATGTTCAGAAGTGACTAATAATGTTAAGGGTGCAGCTTGAGACACCTGAAGAGCCCCCGCCCAAAGATCTAACCCCTTTAAGTTCTCATCAATTGGATCTCCAAAACCCCCAACTCCTTAGCTGCTCTTAATAAGAGAAAAGGCCACCTATCGCCAGGCGACCAGTTCAAGGGATGGACTTGACCCCAGGGGTTAGAGATATTACCATGCACGGGCTCCCTTGTTCCAAGGTGGCCAGGGTCGTCTATGAAGACATTTAAACAAGGAAAGACCTTTACAAGCTTGGGGAAGAGTTAACATCGAGAATATGTCTGGGCTCAATCTTTCCTTTGTTTCTTTTGGAAGTTAAAATATAAACAGGCCATTCTATTTCCTTAGGATTAAATGTTCAGAAGTGACTAATAATGTTAAGGGTGCAGCTTGAGACACCTGAAGAGCCCCCCACCCCCCAAAGATCTGACCCCTTTAAGTTCTCATCAATTGGATCTCCAAAACCCCCAACTCCTTAGCTGCTCTTAATGAAGAGATAAGGCCACCTGTCACCAGGCGACCAGTTCAAGGAATCTGGTCACAGAGCTGGGCTAGGATGCCTCAGGCCCCCTTGAGTTGGGGGGAGACTGGGCCCCTAAACTCCAGCCCCTCTCCCTAGGCTGTCTCCTCCATGCTCACAGACAGCAACTAACTAACTCTCTTCCAGCCCTGCCCCCCAGCCAGGGCAGCATTCCACCTTCCTTTGTTCCTCTCCCTGGGGGGTGTCTGGCCATACTGGTTTGCATAGTGACTCATCCTGTTTTGCTGGGTCGTGGTACCCACGGCAACCAATGGGGGTTACCCCAGAGCCAGCAGCATAGAAACCAGCCAGGTACCCCCACTACGTCACAGAGGCCCACGTAGATTTCGATGGGCACTGACTGGAGTTCCACACAGGGAGCTGTTTCAGTCCAGGGCGGTTCCCCCGGCTTCTCCAGGAGACTCGCCTTTCGTTGACGGCTGTGAAGGACACGCCACCGAGTGGTTCTCGCCAGAGGCCACTGGAGTCCAACGTTACCAACGAGAAGTCCTGTGGCACCTTATAAACTGACAGATGTATTAGTGCCACAAGACTTCTCGTTGTTTATGCGGATTCAGACTAACACGGCTACCCCTCTGAGGCTAGTCAAAGTTTGCCTTCCCCACTCCCATGGTGTTCCACTTCGGAGTAGCTGTCACTGGTGGTCTGCTATTCCCTTGCTGCCCGTCTGCTTGTTTACAAAGACTCTCCCCCGTGCTGTATAGGGATGTAACATTGGTTAATCGATTAAGTGGGATCCCGACCTCCCCTCCCCACACATGGGGGGCTGGCTTCTGCTCCCAAACCACCACCACCCCTGTGTGGGCAGGCAGCTGGCTCTGGCATCTGACCCACTGAGGGTGATGCTTACTAGGCAAGCGGTTCACTAGTTACCCGTTCACATCCCTAGTGTGTGTGAACACAGAATGACTCAAATAGCAGGAATCCGTTCCTTTCCTCTCAGCACCAGGAGCACTTGCAGCCTGTACCCCTGACCCAAAATCCTCTATCCAGGTTTATTCCAGACCCCACAAGTGTGCTTTGAGCTGCTCCTGTAGACTGCCCCTCTTTCCAGACTTCTGTCCCCTCTTCATTCCATGGCTTCCTGCCTCCTGTGGACATCACTGACCCCGATCTGTGTTTCCCTGTAAGCAGTGCGCTTGTGCAGCTGCTCAGGGGAGATTCCAAGATTGCCCGGCTGATTAGCCGAGCACCCACCTGTAGCGACACATTCCCCCTCCCCCCAGCGAGGGGTTGGTGTCTGGGTCTGGCTAACGCAGCCCCACCTCCACGAGGCAACAGCAGCCAGGACTGGGCCTGCTGCTACACGGCCCTGGCCAGCAGCAACATGGAGAAGCCTGGCCCCAACTGGCTACTCTCTTCCTGGTGCAGCCGCCCCCGTGGACACTCTGCAGTATAACTATCCCCCATTCTCACTGCCCGCCCTGTGGTCATTGCAGAGCATAACTGCCTCTCTTATCAGACGCCTCCCTTTCCTTGTTATGGAAAACAGTCAGATTCTAGGCATGTTCCATTGTCCTGGCACAAACCAAACTTGCTTTAAGTGAGGATAAGAGGAAGCTGCATACCAAATCTGATGGTCGTAACTCCTACCTTTTAGGAGGAGTTCTTGACTAAAGGGACTCACACATGGATAAAAGGTCACATGGAAAGATAGACCGATGCACAAAAGGGTGGTTAATGTAGGCATTCGAAGTTGCAAATGAAGCCTGGGATTTAAATATCCCGGGCTTCATTTGCATCTTCCCGGGCGCCGCCATTTTTAAATGGCCCTTAGTCCGAACTCCGTGCCCGCAGCTACACGCGGCACGGAGTAGGTAGTTCGAATTATGATCTCTAATTTGAACTACCGGTACACCTCGTTCCACCTTGAGGTGTACCAGTAGTTCGAATTGGAGATCCTAATTCGAACTACTTACTTTGTGCCACATGTAGACGCAGGCACGGAGTTCAGACTAAGGGACATTTAAAAATGGCGGCACCCGGGAAGATGCAAATGAAGCCCGGGATATTTAAATCCCAGGCTTCATTTGCAACTTCGAATGCCTACATTAACCACCCTAGTTCGAACTAGGGGGCTAGTGTAGACATACCCTGAGATATATAGATAAATAGTGAAGTCCCTAGTGGTGTGAATGGAGGCTCTGTCTCTAGCCTCTGTCTCTTCTCCATCTGCTGCTCTCGCTCACACCTTCACAGATTTCAAGGCCAGAAGGGCGTGTTATGATCATCTACTCTGCCTGATCTGTGTAATGTCACACGTCAGCCTCACCAGTAACCCTGCACAGAGGCCAAGATCTTCTATTTGAGCTAGAGTGTCTTTTAGAGAAATGTCCAGCCTCGATTTAAAGACTCCAAGTGAGGGAGAATCCATCATGTCATGTGGCAAACTTCCAAAAGTTAATTGACCTGCCTGCTAAAATATCTCTTGCAAGGGCATAAGGGCAGCACACAGTGCCTCACTGACTTCCCATATATTTAGAGGCTGCAGAGACCTGGCAGCCACTTCTTGGGAGCCACAGTATGTGCTGCCAGAACCCCAATCCCCTTTCCTGCACCCCAAACCCTCATCCTGGGCTGCACTTCAGAGCCTGCACCCCCACTGGAGCTCTCACTCCCCCCACACACCCTTCAACTCCCTGCCTCAGCCCAGAGGCCCCTCCCTCACCAAACTCTCCTGGAGCCTGCATCCTGCATCACCACCCCACACACACCTCCCAAACCTCTGCCCCAGCCTGGAGCCCCCTCCTACATCCCAACCCCTCCTCCTGCACCCCCAACTGAACCCCTAACCCACTTCTGCAGCCTCCTGCCCTCGCTGCATGAGCATGAGCGAGGGTAGAGGAAGGCGAGTGACAGAGGGAGGGGGGATGGAGCAATTGGGGGCAGGGCCGGGGTCCCCCAAATGTTTCAATCAAAAGAGGGGCCCTCAAGCTGCTAAATGTTGAGAACCACTGTTAAGATTCAAGCCTCCTTCGTCGAGCGTAAAGAAGCAAAACAAAATGCAGCGTTTGCTTCCCCCTTTGCAAGTCACCTTACCCACAGCCCTGCTGGCCCCCCTCAAGCAATAGCAGGTTCTAGCCCACCTCTCTCATGCTCAGAGAGGTGTGAAGTCGGTAGCCAATGCCCACTAGCCACATCCTTCCACATAAGAGAGAACTAGGTGGGGGAAGGCAGCGTTAGCCACAGTCTAACAGAGACCGTTTCAGGAGGCAGCACTGACGCTCACAAGCCAGGCAGGGACACAGACTCTCAGCGGGGATTCGTTATCTTTAAAGGCTTCAGAGGCTTTAGCTCTGACATCGCTTGGTTACAAGGGCCCAGCGCATCAAAGTTAGCTGGGCTCCGAACTTCCATCAATCCTGGCGATTGAGAACAGAGGCTCTTTGGGGCTCTCCGCCCAAGTAGCATTGTCAGCACTTTTCCCGAGCAGGAACAGACACGGGACTTGCCCAGTCACCCAGCAGGCCAGCAGCAGAACTAAGACAATCTCTGCAGTCTCAGCTCTCCTGATGCCCAACCCAGTGTCCTTACCACTGGCCTCATCCCCGCGGTGCCTGCCTCTGTCTGCTCACAGCGGATCCCAGCTGAGCTCAGAGGGTTGGGAGATGGGCTCCCAGGCCTTCCAAACCAAGCCCCTGCCACCTTCCCCCACAGCCTCCACTCCCAAGGAGATCTCACGTTAGGGCAACAGATGTTAGAAACATCCCCAGCGACGAAGGACACAGCAGCGCCAGACAGGATACTGTATTCACTGGGGCAAGGCAATTGTTTATTCTACAAGCCAAAGACAAGGTGTTAAGGACACACGGTAGGGTTTGATTCACTCCTGTTTTAACCGTGAGCTAATGATATTTATTAGCCCCTTTTCCCTTGCGCATTGCTTTAAAGACCCAGACAGAACCGCCTACCCCTTCTGGGCTACAAAGACTAAGGTACGGATTGGGAGCCAGGATAGAACCTGACATCCTCTAAGCTTCCCGACAGCTCCCGGCGTCAGGACTGGGGCAAGTCAATCTTCTATAGCAGACACAGCTGGGCACGGCCTACACTGGCATGAGAATTGTGCTGAAAGCTTTGCTCCGAAGCCCACCCACTGACATTCATGGAACTGTTTCCAGGAGCATGCAGAAGCCAAAAGAGAATCGGCTTGAAACTCAGACCCCAGAGAGCTTTTGTGGGGCTGGCGATTGGAGGAAGGGAGAAAAAAAAAAAAAACTCAACGCAAAATATTTCTGTGATCACAAACTGAGCTGTTGCAGTCACTGAGCTACAGCGAGCCTGGATTCACTCCCTAGGGTTGCCAGGTGTCCAGAATTCTACCGGACAGTCTGGAATTTGCGCTCTTTGTCCGGTAAAAAAATCAGAGAATACCAGACATGTGCAATGTCCGGCATTTTCTGATTTTTCCGGCTGCGCACCGGATGGAATATTTCTGTGATCACAAACTGAGCTGTTGCAGTCACTGAGCTACAGCGAGCCTGGATTCACTCCCTAGGGTTGCCAGGTGTCCAGAATTCTACCGGACAGTCTGGAATTTGCGCTCTTTGTCCGGTAAAAAAATCAGAGAATACCAGACATGTGCAATGTCCGGCATTTTCTGATTTTTCCGGCTGCGCACCGGATGGAA